GCTAAATGGTTTATGGCAATGTTTGGTTTGTCACATCCATAATCCTGGGAAGACAATCAAAACTTCATATTCATTTCTGCTACTTGATGGGCCATTTAAACATTTATAAATGGATTTCATTCAGTTGTGCTTTCTTTGAATTCACTCAGGACAAAAGAATAAATAAATGTATCCTTACAGAAGAATAAAGACACTTGATAATTGACTTGTGATGCATGACCTTTGTTCAAATTCACCTCAATCACAAATGAATTTGGGTATAGAGAAAACACATTTAATAACTTCATCTAGGCTGGGCGTGGTGGCTCATGCCTGTAATCCCAGCACTTTGGGAGGCCAAGCAGGCAGATCACCTAAGGTGAGGAGTTGAAGACCAGCCTAGGCAACATAGTGAAACCCCGTCTCTACTAAATATACAAAAATTAGCTGGGCATGGTAGCGCATGCCTGTAATCCCAGCTATTTGGGAGGCTGAGGCAGGAGAATCGCTTGAACCTGGGAGACAGAGGTTGCAGTGAGCCGAGATCGTACCACTGCACTCCAGCCTGGCGACAGAGCTAGACTCTGTCTTGAAAAAAAAAAAATACAGAAACATACAAAGAAGAATAAAATAATTTCTGATAATTTCAACATTCACAGAGTTAACACTTTGGTATATTCATTTTCAGTCACTTTTTACGTATTTTCTATATGGGTGAAACACAAAGGATAGAGAAACATGTTAAACAACACCTTATGGATGCAATCAGTAAAATCCAGAATGTGGGAAATTCTATAATACAAATGACCTATATTCTTCCATAAATAAATGGTGTCTAAGTTTGGTTTCCTTAAAAGCAAGGACTAAGAAAAGTGAAATAGGTCCACAGAAAAAGCCAAATTCAAGGGTATGCTATTAAGTTGACTACCACTGTAGACAACCGGAGCTCAACTCCCCTTGGCCCATCTGAGGAACCATGTAGTTTGTATATCAGAATCGATCATGGAAGACATTGAAAAAATGGGTATCCACCAATTCTCAGCAGTAAGTGTTAACAGCTTTGTACCTCCAAATGTGTGCATGTGCCAACATGGCTGAGTGTGCTCCTACAGGTGTCCCATGCTACAGCAGCAGAGATGCCCCATAGAAAAAAGCAACAGATACACAACATAGCCGAGGTTTTGTCCTGTCAGGCTGCAACTCTGTACAAATAACTGCTGCAGCAGCAACCTGAGCAAACAGATGGGCTGAGAAATGTGAGACAAGACACAAAATATGTCTCACATAAATGGCAATAAAAAAATACATAAAAGAAAAAAAAACTGCAGATGAAGACTGAAGAGACATATCAATCAAATACAGTGTGGAGGTTGATTTAAACAAACCAACTGTAACATTTATTTTTTAGATACAAAAATTTGAACAGTGCCTGGATATCTGCTATTAAAGAATAACTGCTGTCTGCTGTCTGCTTTAAGAGCAAACTGGTCAGATGAATATTACTGTTTCCCATTTTCAACCAGTAAATAGTTGCCCCTGATAAACTGACAGCCAGGAGTCTGTGAAGAATGCTCAAGATATGTTATATAATACAACATGCCTGTTCACAGGGGGAAAATCCTAGGAAATAACTCCTGTGTACTTCATTTCATCATACAAGACAAGCACAAAAGCACCACTCATGCCTTTGAGGATAATGGACCTTGCACCCTTAAAAAAAGCTTTGCCTCCTTCATCATGAGCAATCTGCTTCCAGCAGTAAAGCGTGCCTGTGTATATGATGTCAGTTCCTTTGCGCCCTGACTGCAACAACATGTAGCAGTGAATGGTATCAAATAGATAGGAAGTCAACCCAGCAACAGCAGTGGCAGTCTGTGTGATCATCCAGCTGATGACAACATGAGTGTTCCTGGGATCCGGAAGCATTCCCTTTACAGTGTCATAGATACCAAAGTAGGCAGCTTAGTAGATGATAATACTCTACACAGACATGTTAAAATTTTGGTATAGTCCCTTAATCCCATCAGATTTGTAGATCTTAACCAGGCAGTCATTGAGGCCTCCGAATTCCCTTTCAGCTCCAGCTTTACCCACATCGGCTGCTAGATGGGTACAGGCAAAACCAAGAGGGTACACAAAACACAAGGATGTGGCTCCAGCAGCACCCCCTGATGCCAGATTCCCTGCAAAGTAGTGCCAAAACTGGGTCCTTTTGTCCACATCACCAGGAAGATCTGCTTGCATTTATCTTTGAAGGCAAAGTTAAGAGCCTGAATGGGGAAGTATCTGATAACATTGACCGGGTTACCGCACCAGAAGGAGAGTACTCCCTGCTCCTTGGGAATACGGACTATGCAGTCTATAATGCCCTTGTATTGCTTATCTGCAGTGATCTGCTTGCTGGCATGCTGCACCTGCAACAGCAGCTTGACCCACTCGATGGGCGCTACTGCTGTCTTGGAGATGGCTGCAGCCACTCCACCTGCCAGGAAGTCCTTAGCGAAGGACACAGTGGCATCTGTCACGCTGAAAGGAAAGAGGAGGCAGGCTGCTGCAGGACGGGACTAGGCTGGGAACTGGCTTTGACTCCAGGGCTGTAGGGCTCTACATAGTTTTTATTTGACCTAGAGATATATGAATGTTAATAATGTGGGCAAAATATTAATAAACTGTCTGGTTAGAAAATGACATCAATATTTTTGGTTCCCTAAGCTCACTTTGTTATTTCATGTGTCTGTACTTTCTTTTGAGACAGGGTCTAGCTCTATTGCCCAGGCTGGGGTGCAGTGGTGTCATCTCGACTCACTGCATCATCCACCTCCCAGGCTCAAGCCATCCTCCCACCTCTGCCTCCCAAGTAGCTGGAACTACAGACACACATCACCGAACCTGGCTAATTTTTTTATTTTTCATAGAAATGAGGTTTTGCCATGTTGCCTGGGTTGGTCCTGAACTCCAGAGCTCAAATAATCTGCCTGCATCAGCCTCCCAAAGTGTTGGGATTATAGGCATAAGCCACACAGCCTGACCCATGTGTCTGTATTTTTGGCCATACAATTTACTCACTCTGAATGATGTCCTTTCTTTCACCTACATGTAATGAGCTATTATTCATTTTTCAAAACCCAACTCAAATAGCACTCCATTTAGGATGTTTTCCCATATGCTGTCTAAATAATTAGTTTCTTAGCTGGATGCAGTGCTTATGCCTGTAATCTTGGCACTCTGGTAGGCTGAGGCAGGTGGATCACCTGAGGTCAGGAGTTTGAGACCAGCCTGGCCAACATGGCGAGACCCCATCTCTACTAAAAAATACAAATTTAGCTGGGCAAGGTGGCACATGCCTGTAATCCCAGCTACTCAGGAGGCAAGGCTGGAGAATCACTTAAACCCGGGAGGTGGAGGTTGCAGTGAGTTGACATCGCACCACTTCACTTCAGCCTGGGAGACAAGAATGAAACTCCATCTCAAAAAATCAAAAGAATTAGTTTCTTTATATCCTACTCCTATAACATACATAGTCATGTGCTGCATAATGATGTTTTGGTCAACAATGGACTGAACATACAGTGGTGGTCCTATAAGATCATAATTGAGCTAAAAAATTCCTAGTGCCTAGTGACTTTGTAGCATTAATAACATCGTAGTACGACTATTTTATTGTTAAAATAAATTTAGCGTAGTCTAAGTGTACAATGTTTATAAAGTCTATAGGTGCACCATTTTCCATCCTTTGTACCATATTTTTAGTATACCTTTTCTATGTTTAGATGTGTTTGGATACACAATTACTTACCATTGTATTACAATGGCCTGCTGTATTCAGGACAGTAACATGTCATACAGGTTTATAGCCTAGGAACAATAGGCTATACCATATAGCCTAGATGTGTAGTAGGGTATGTCATCTAGATTTGCATTAAGTACTCCACGACATTTGCACAATAACGAAATCATCCAAGGACACATTTCTCAGAACATATCTTCATCATTAAGTGACCTATGACTGTAGAAACAATTCTTGCTATTTGTAGTTATGTTCTATACAGTCACAGTAGACAATGAATTGTGAATATCAACTTATTGCTCTTGGGGGAATTCAGGATTAAGTTCCTTTGAGCCTATGGTTACAACATTTTCATAATCAATCAATATATAACTTGGTTTTATTTTATTTTATTTGAGACAGTGTTTCGCTCTTCTTGCCCAGGCTGGAGTGCATTGGAGTGATCTGGGCTCACCACAACCTCTGCCTCCAGGGTTCGAGTGATTCTCCTGTCTCAGCCTCCTGAGTTGCTGGGATCACAGGCATGCACCATCACACCTGGCTAATTTTGTATTTTTAGTAGAGATGACGTTTCACCATGTTGGCCAGGCTGGTCTGGAACTCCTGACCTCAGGTGACTCGCCCACCTCGGCCTCCCAAAGTGCTGGGAGTATAGGCATGAGCCACCATACCCAGCCTATAACTTGGTTTTATGTGTATGAAAGTTAGAATATTGATTAGATCATTCTTCTTTTTAAATGTAGGTGTTTATAAATTTCCCTCTGAGCACTGCTTTTGTGGCATTGCATAAGTTTTGGGAGGTTCTATATTCCTTTTCATTCAACTGAAAGCATTTTCTAATTTCCTTTGTGATTATGTATTTGATCCACTGGTTGTTTAAAAGTGTGTTAATTTCATACTTCATAAGTGTTCTAGTTTTCCTCACTAAAGAGTGACTTGATAGCAGTTATACATGTAATGTATTACATTCAGAAACATTCTAATTACAGACAATGAATCTCAAACAGAGGGGCTCAATTTCCTCAACCTCTTACCCTGGTTGCACGTTGCCACATTAGACTGAAGCCTTCTCTTTTGTACTCCTAAAGCCTAGCACAATGCCTGATACTCAATAGCCACACAGTTGATATCATTATTATACGGGCCTGTAAGATTTAAGTACTATGTAGAAAGAAACAAAGTAGCTTATAACAAAATAAATATCACAATCTTATATTTCACTTTAGCAGCTTACGTTCTGGTTGCTTTTCATTGGGTGTTATGGATCGCACAAAATCTTCTGGCGTCATAAATACTTCTGCTTCACCAGGCTCACTGATGACTTTCAAGGTGGCAAAATATCGGAAGATTTTGTCTGGTGTGGAGTAGGCTCGAATCCTATTCTCATATTCCATCACCTAAAGTTAGAAATTTAGAAAGTGTTACTATATTAAGCAATGCTCAGATGTTCATATATTCTCATCATCACTGCTCATCAATTCTCGTATATTTTCCATCTTATTTTGGGGGTAAATTCTATAATATCTTTTTTTCTATAATTAGTTTTTTACTATTACAAACAAATATCAAAAATTTTTGATATTCTTGGAATTTTTTATTTCTTGCAACGTACCATTCATATTCCAGTTGAGGCAATGCTCACGTAACTTTTGTTTAGGACTTTGTTTAAAGAATTTTCTAATTTCTTAAATCAGTGAAGGCTAGCAAAATTTTTAAATGTCAAAAGAAATTTCAGAAGATTTCAGTAATAGGGTACAATGTCATATATATGCCAATCTATAGGTTCTTCAATATCAAGTCATTTTTTCTATTCTTTTACAATCCTTTTTCCAGAAGACTTTTTTAACACTCTCTTTTTAAAACGTTATTTTTATTTTTGTAGAGAGAGGGTCTCACCAAATTGTCCAGGCTGGTCTCAAACTCCTGGGCTCAAGCAATTCTCTTACCATAGCCTCCCACAGTGCTGAGATTATAAGCATCAGCCATTGCACCTGGCCTAAATACCAAGTTTTTATAAAGGGATTGATTTTACTGTTTCTACTTCTATATAATTTCCTAATTCCTAAAACAAAACATACTTTAGATTTCATAGGTTTGAAAAGTTAATAGGTCTTCAAAGACAAAGCACATTGAATGATGGCATAGAAAAATTATATATCATGGAAACCCAATTATTAACAGGTCTGAAGCAACAGACTTTTGATTATAAAATTAAATGAACTGCCAGAGATCCTTTACATATGGCATATTTAGAAAGCAGCAGAGTTGGGAATCACACAAGCAAATGTTGGAATAGCAACAAAATCAAGAATGGCATGCATTTAACTAAAAGGCTGTCAAGTTAATATGGAAGTTCATTCCCTTATCTGGTATATAAGCCCCCATTCTGTACATGGAACATACAAAATACTACACCAGCCACATAATATTTTAGTGAAAAAAATTTCTCTCATACCTGAATTTTATATGTTGAAATAGCTATCAATAAATAATATCCTATCGATAACTGGCTAGAAAATGAGTCAAGGCAATAAAACCTACAATCTTATCAGTTCCATGTCTATAAAGCAATTTACCAATGTTAAGAAAAAACTTCCTCCCGAAGTGCTGGGATTACACTAAACCACGCCAGGCCTTCACTGATGTTTTAAATTTGCCACATTAACAATTACTATAACTGTCAGTCCTGGCTCGATGTCACTTTGAGATCATTGGCAGCAACTGTTTAACAAAGGTCTCGATTCCACATGTGCTTTTAGCAACTGAAAAAAGACTGCAGATTTGTAACCACATATTACAGGAATTTTTTCAATGCTAACTCGTAATACAATCTGAATTGATTTCAGAGGAGACCTTATCAAAAGATTGAGCATGTGGCAAACACACTAAAGAGCTCTACAACCCTTTGGCAGCCTTGAGACTTAGCTACAAGTCTTAAATCAAAGGCATTTTATATTATACAACAACCGTCTGCTGGGAAATAATGGCTACAGAAGAAATATCTTTCTTCAGGCCATCTGTATTCTTGTTCTTCCTCTGAATAACAACAAAAAAGAAACCATTTGGAATGTTTGGGGTGTATGAGCAGAAATTACTACCAACAAGGACATTGTGACTTTGTGAACTAAAAAGTTAAGTCAATCATATACAAAAAGATAGAAAAATAAGAACTTAAAAATCAAGAATTTAAGACAAAATCAGATTCATTTTTGGAATAATGGGTCAAAGAAAGCAACAAACTTAGTGTACTCCCACATTGGTAGAATTTGGTATATACCTACTGTATGGTATATATTTTGCCTTTTTTTACTTAGCATTGTATCTTAGCCTGGTTAAAAGGAATAACAAACTATCATATAAAAAGCTTGGAATACAGCATCCAAGATAACAAAGGCTTGGAAGTAGCAATATATAGGAAAGTGTTGAAAGATTTTGGGATGTATAGCCTGAGAAAAGACATACTAAGAGAATTATGATAGTTCATTCAGTCATTTGCCTTATAAGAGTTTCCTGAGCATCATTAAGACACCTGTCTTCAATAAAACTGCCAGAGTTAACTGGATCAAAATGTGGGCATTATTTTTCCCATATGAACTGCATCAAGGAGTAACCAAAGAGTACTTATAACCAAATAGTAGATGAGGGATATTGTCTGTTTATAAAATATTCCAGTTGCTAAATGAAAAAGGCGTTTGATAAAATTAGAATTTCATTTTGCAACTTCAATTAACAAATATAGGCAATGGACATCAATAATTCTTAATAATGCAAAAAGAAAAGCAACTAGACATTAGGAGTCTTATGAGAAAATAACATAATATCACCACTAATCTTGCTTCAGGGATCAAACCTGAGTCTGACTGAGCCTCAGAATCCAGCTGCCAATATTCAGGTAATATAGAGAAAAGAGGAACAGGCACTGTGCATAAGCATCAGTAAAACCTAGACCCTAGGAAACTTTATAGGTCAAATGGCCTGCATTCTGTCATCTGTAGTTTAAGAGGCTTTAAAGATATATCATCAAACAAAACAGGCAAGATTAAACTATATGTCTAGGGATAAACATTGGAGTAGGAAAACTATGAAGAACAAAAATAAATGGTTACTATAAAAATCATTTTAGGTTTCTTATATCTGCATAAAACAACAGTAAAACAATTATTTTTTTAAAATACAGACATTGGCTCACGCCTATAATCCCAACACTTCGGGAGGCCAAGGCAGGAGTTCCAGACCAGCCTGGCCAATATGGTGAAACCCCATCTCTACTAAAAATACAAAAATTAGGGAGTTGTGGAGGTACATGCCTGTAATTCCAGCTACTCAGGAGGCTGAGGCGAGAGAATTGCTTGAACCCAGGAGGCAGAGGTTGCAGTAAGCCAAGATTGCACCACTGCACTCCAGCCTGGGTGACAGAGTGAGACTCTAACTCAAAAAAACACAAAATATAAAAAACAAAAAAAACAAACAGACATTCTATGTGATGCTGTACAGCAAAACCAGACTCATAAAGAGGAACTCCAAATAGTAAGAGTATTTCAAAATGAAGCAAAAAATTCCCCAGCATAGGAGGTATTCAAGGGAAAGATGAAGAAGAATATGAAGATCATTATCATAATTATCTCCCCTAAAAAGGGGGGGCTATGAGGATCATTTTAAATCCTTGTGTTTACAAAATGCTGTCATCTTTTAGTTTACTGTTACTTAACTTCACAAAACAAAACAAAAAAGCAGAGGAACCAATAAAAAGTAAGCCCCAGATTGAGACTTGAATTTTAGAAAGGAAAAGTACATTGTTATAACTACACAAAAAATTCTTCAGGAAGAAAAAAGTTTTTTTTTTCCTGTGATTTGACAACTTTAAGTGATATGGACCAGTGGTGAATGACACCATTCCTCCATTCTTAATGGCAGAAGCAAGAGGAAAAGAATATAAAAAGAATGAGTCTACCCAAGTTGGTAGTACTGACTGTGCTGAGTACCTCACTCACTCAAACAGCACTTTAAACTACTCCTGGGCTTGCTCCTTGAATGACACCACACACAGTAAATAGATGGTCCAAGAGGAGTTACGCTGCTCCCATTACCAACCACATTACTGCAAAGGATTACTTATCTTTTGACCACGGATGGAAGATTAGATGAGATGAGCAATTGATGCCTCAACCTGCATTGTAGTCCATATCACCACCACAGGCTTCTGCTTCAAAAACCTGTATTGTCTGTTTCAGTTGGTTTACAAATGAAGTAAGAGGAGAGGACAGGGGAAGAATGAGCTCTTTCTATTGTTAAAAGGGACATATTTTCCTTTGATCATGACACCAATTAATGCAAGTGACGGTAAATCCCTGTGGGCCCTGATACCAGAAACAATACATGGGCATGGGATGTAGACTGAGGCCACACGTGGAAAAGGTAGCAGGCAGAAAGGTTTTGTAGATATATCATGTGGCTGGCACATTCTCTCAAGAGGTGACATAGCCTAATCTGTAACCTAACAGTTGTCCTCCATTTTAGAGACTCCCTTTCCTTTTGCTAGTCAATTTCTGGCCAACTATAATAATGACCATCTATCATAGGATAACATCTTAAGTAATAATAATAGTAATAATATAAGTCAGTTCCAATATTAGCATTTTTTGTTTTTTATTTTTTTGAGACCAAGTTTCACTCTTGTTGTCCAGACTGGAGTGTAATGGTGTGATCTCAACTCACTGCAATCTCCACCTCCCAGGTTCAAGCGATTCTCATGCCTCAGCCACCCAAGTAGCTGGGATTACAGGCGTGTGCCACCATGCCCAGCTAATTTTTCATTTTTAGTAGAGACAGGATTTCACCACGTTGGTCAGGCTGGTCTTAAACTCCTGACCTCAGATAATCCACTCACCTTAGCCTTCCATAGTGCTGGGATTACAGGCGTGAGCCATCGCACCCAGCCCCATATTAACATTCTTAACTGTCAGTCAAAATAAGTCCTCAAATTATTAAAGAATATATTTTTTCATTTGTTGTATCTTATTGATGTGTAAAAGCATGTCTGTAAAAATTTCTTCAACATATTTTGCCTATGTTGAAAAATCTGGCCGGGCATGATGGCTCTTGCCTGTAATCCCAGCACTTTGGAAGGCAAGGCAGGCGGATCAATCACCTGAGGTCAGGAGTTCGAGACCAGTCTGGCCAACATGGCAAAACCCAGTCTCTAATAAAATATAAAAATTAGCCAGCCAGGCATGGTGGTGAGTGCCTGTAATCCTAGCTACTTAGGCTGAGGCAGGGAGAATCACTTGAACCCAGGAGGCAGAAGATCCAGTGAGCCGAGATTGCCATTGCACACCAGCCTGGGTGACAGAGCGAGACTCCGTCTCATAAAAGATTGTGGCCGTGATTCTTA